AGAAGAAAAAAGAAGAAAAATAAAACCCTAAGCCTCCAAAAACCTTGCACACAAGAGAGATCGAGATCTCTAGTCCTAGCAGACAAGTTCCAAGGTGTTGGAATCCATCCCGACGTGTGGATACGTATAGAGGGTGAGGTATTCTTCCTGCCTAGAGTGATCGGACGAACAGATCAATTGATACAGGCCCCGGATCGATTGAGGTAAGCGTTCTAACATTTCTATGATTCAATAGTAGCATGGTTCTAGGGTTTCATTAAAATTTTTGTTTTATATCCGTTGCGCAAACCCTAGAATCGATCTCTTAGGAATTAGATTCGCTCATGAGATCCCAGGAAACCCAACATCATCCTCAGACGGATGGACAGACTGAAGTAGTCAACCGAACTCTATCGACTTTATTAAAGGCTACTCTAGGAAAAGGACTTGGAAACTGGGTCGAGTGTTTGCCTCACATCGAGTTTGCATACAATCGAACAATTCATTCCGCTACGAGGCACTCACCTTTCGAGATCGTGTAAATACATCGTCAATCTCGACGGGGATGCGAAAGCCGAGCTCGTCAAAAGACTCCATGAGAAGGTCCGAGATAATATTGCACGTCGAACCGAGCAATATGCACGCCAAGCCAACAAAGGTAAATAAGAAGTAACCTTCAAGGAATGCGATTGGGTGTGGCTCCACTTTCCATCGGAGAGGTTTCCGGACAAGAGAAAGTCCAAACTCGCCCCGCGTGGTGATGGACCATTCCGAGTGATTGAGCGCATAAACAACAATGCTTATAAACTTGAGCTACCAAGCGAATATAATGTGTCAAATTCTTTTAATGTCGCTGATTTACTTCCCTTTGATGCAGGTGATGACATTTCGAGGACGAAATCTTTTCAAGAGGTAGGGCATGATGAAGACATCGATAAATTAGAGCATATGGGAGCAGCTCGGAATGGACGCAAGGAAGCTGCTCGGAATGAAGGCACGGAAGCAGCCACGGATGAGAGAATGGACGCCGTTGAGACGGAGTACTCGTGCGGGCCGGAGGTAACACATTCACTTCCGCCACCTGCTGTCCCTTCGGCCAAAACCAATCCACATGTCGATTCGAAGTCCCATTCTTCGACAGCCCAAGTGCGTGCCGAACCTCCGATCACCCGAGCAAGGACACAAGCACTCCAAGGGAAACTCAATGCCTACTTCCATCGTGCATTGACGCTACCAAGCGAAGAGAACACAGTGTCCTTTTCCACCGAAGAAACCCGAGCCGCGGGTAACTTGTTCGTGGTCGATTCCAAAGCTTTTTGTGATCCAAGTCACTAACCAAAGGAAGCTTCTTGAGATGCAAGACACCTCCCAACAGCCATATTCAGCCCACCGACCTCATTTATGGCTCACGTCTTGCATGTGTTGTTGCTTTAATTATGTTGTTGACATTTTTCTTTTACTTAAAACACTTCTCTTCTTCATAGTAAGGTTAGCCAAGTTATTGAATCAAAGTTGCAGAGTTTTCTCTCCTTCTTCTCCACTCTAAAGTGTCGAGAGTCTTAGTTTTGGTGTGTCCAAACTCGGTCTTGTCGGTGTGTTCGCAAGCCAACACTCGGTGTGTCCGAGTTCTTACCGTAGATGTGTCCGTGGGTTTCGCACTCGGTGTGTCCGGTGCCTCTATCCTTCGTTTCCGCCATCTCCACTCCTCTTCTCGTGATTATGTCGAGCGCCTATCCGGGCCCGTGACTGATCCGAGAACCATCTCCCACACCATCCCATTCATCGGTTCTTCTCTTGACTTCGAGAACGGATAACAACCGGTGAATCGAGAGTGAGTCCCGTCATTTACCTTCCGTACTCACATCAGTACGTCTCGTAAAAAAGAGAGATATCGATGGGCCCCTCGTGTGAGGGAGACTATAGGAATGTGTGGCCGCACTATAGACGAGCGTCATCTATTTCAGACAGTCGAACTCAGTGAACAAGAAAACAATCGAATCAGATAAGGTGGCTTGTCCATGCCTTATGTTCGACATATGATATCGTGATACAAAAGGATCATCAACCGGAATCATCACAGACGTTCGTATGATCATGAACAAACTCTATTCGAGATAGGTAGTCATAGTGTCTTGCTAGAGACCGCCTATGACTTGTGTAACCGAAATAGAGATTTTGGGTTATACTGCAATATCGGATGAGCCTACAGGGTCACACACAGAGGAAAGGACAAACGCACGAGAAAAGATGAGAAAAACCCGGAGGAGCCGAAGCAAGACCAGTCGGTCTAGAAAGTCTAGACCGATCGGTCCAACCCACATAGACTGATCGGTCTAGACTGTCTAGACCGAACGGTCTACGTAACGTACATGGGATCAGTCCAAGGCATAAGCTAGACCGATCAGTCTACACCTAGACCGATCTAGACGTCGGGATTACCTTGTTTCACTTAAATTAGGGTTTTAAGGGTATTAAAACCTAGGGAGCCGCCACCCAACCTTCATGAGCTCGTTTTTCAGACCTTTTCTAGAGGTTTTCAGAGAGAGAAACAAGAGGTTTTAATCCCTGAAACCCTTGCGCAAAGAAGAAGGTGTTCTTCAGTCCTAGCAGACAAGTTCCAAACGTTGGAATCCTTTCCGCCGTGTGGATACATGTAGAGGGGAGGTATTCTTCCTCCCTTCAGTGATCAGACGAACTCTTCAATTGATACAGGCACCGGATCGATTGAGGTAAGCATTCTAACGTTTCTACAAGATCATACATGCATGGTTTTAGGGTTTCTTAGAAAATTTTTTGTTTTACATGCGCTGCGCAAAACCTAGAACCGATCTCTTAGGAATTAGATTCGCTCATGAGATCCCAAGAATTCCAACAGTGGTATCAGAGCCTGGCTGCTCTGTATGATTTTGTTAGAACCCGATCACGCACGTTATAGGATTTGAATTATTTGAATCCGTGTTTGCTTTGATGCTATGCATGATTTGATTGTGGATCTAGAGTAGATTTTCTGTTCATTTTTGCATGGCATGCAAGAGCTTCGAGTTCTGAGTTCGCAGGCGATAACGGGGTCGAATTCAGGTCTGAAACGGGGCTGAAACGACCAAAACGATATCTGATCACGTTTTCGCCTAGACCGATCGGGTCCTCTGGACCGATTGGTCTAGGGTTTCGCAGGTTCGTTAGACCAATAGGTCCAGACTGAACGGTCCGCATGTATAGACCGATCGGTCTGGACCAAGACCGATCGGTCTGGACCGTTCCGGACCGACAGGTCTGGACCGATCTTGACCTGGAGAACGAGTCACATAGACCGATCGGTCTAGGGGCCGAGGCTACACCAAAATTCTTGGTTTTTCGTTCCGGGATCTGGTTTGAGTAATCGTTGCTTAACCCGATCGATTGTGATTCAGAATAACATGATTTGTTCGTTTTGATGGTCCATAGTGAATGAATGCAGGTAACTTAATCGAGATATTAGATATGCTTGATTAAGTGGGAGCTTCGGGATTGGGATTACATAATCAAATGGATGGTCTATTCGGATTATGTAATACATCTGATCAAGGAACAATGGTTGATCCTTAATTCGATTTGTACAATCGTTGCACAGAGACTGATTAGATTTAGAAGCTCTACGAGTAAAGTAGTTGTCAAGGCCTCGATCATATGTTTCATGGGCCATGCCAAAGGTGGGTGTGTCGTGCTATCTTGGTGAAGCAAGATGGAGAAATGGTGGTTCTCATAGCTAAAAGTAGATGCTTGATCTGATTGTGGTTTCGAAAATCCCATTTTATGTAATACTAAGCGTGTACCTCCCATTATTACCGAGTCCTGTCAAGGCATCGATCATCCGTAACACGGGTCATGCCAAAGTTGAGCGTGCCGGATTATCTTTGTGAGGTAGGGTGGGAAATCGTGGTTCCCACAGCTTGAATATGGTTTACCTTAGGTTAAGTTGTCAAGTTTGACTTGAGACTTAATGGTACAGATGAGACGAGTATGCAATGATATTTGATATCATAGTCTCATAAAAGGATCTAAGAGTCATATTGGATACGATTGACATTAGATGTCTACCTAAATAGCGTAAGGCTGAGTGTAACAACTCATTCTTATGTGAAATATGGATCTTAGTCCCTTATAGAAAATTATTGTAGGGTTATTTTTCTGTATGGGAATATAGTTTGCATATACATCTATGTTGTCATTGATTGATGATTGACTAGCTGGTAGTGGATGATTGATATATTGTCGTTGATTGATGATGGACTAGCTGGTAGTAGATCCTTTCAAGGGGAAAGGACATAGAGACACAAAGTTATTGGCTCTCATACATAGTGATGTATGCGGACCAATGAGCTGTCCAGCTAGAGGAGGTTATCTGTATTTCGTTACGTTCACTGATGATTTCAGTCCATATGGCTGTCTATTTGATGAGACATAAATCTGAAACACTTGAAATGTTCAAGGCTTTTAGAAACGAAGTACAGAACCAGCTTGGTAAGACGATCAAGACACTTCGATCTGATCATGGTGGAGAGTACATGAGCCAAGAGTTCTCTGACTATCTGGTTGATTGTAGTATTGTATCACAATTAACTCCTCCTGGAATGCCACAGTGGAATGGCATGTTAGAACGGAGGAATCGAACACTGTTAGACATGGTTTGGTCGATGATGAGTCAGACAGATCTTTCAAAGTCGTTTTGGGGCTATGCTTTAGAGACCGCTGCGTACCTGCTAAAAAGGAGTCCAATGAAGTCGGCTGAAACGACGCCATATCATATATGGACGGGGAAGTGTCCCGCGTTGTCGTTTGTTAGAATTTTGGGTTGTGACGCTTACGTGAAGCGTCAGATGCATGATAAGTTATCCTACAAGTCTGATAAGTGTTTATTTGTAGGCTACCCTAAGGAAACTAAAGGTTACTACTTCTACATTCCGGCAGAGAACAAGGTGTTCATTGCAAGGAATGTGGCTTTTATGGAGCGAGAGTTCATCTCCGAAAGAGTTAGTGGGAGTAGGATCGAACTTGAGGAAGTTCGAGAGAAACAAGTAGACCCTGAGCCGAGTCAATAAGTTGAAGATGTCCAACCTGTTTCACTACCGGTTATGACTCAACCTTCGAATAATGAACCTCGGAGATCAGGCAGGATTCGCCAAGAGCGTGTGAGATACAGATTTCTCGTGACTGGGAATGAGGAGCTCATGTTATTAGAAAATGATGAGCCTACCACATACCCAGAGGCTATGGCGAGTCCTGATTCCGAGAAATGACGCGAGGCTATGAAGTCCGAGATGCAATCCATGTCAGACAACCAAGTATGGACTCTGGTTGATGCATCTGAAGGGATAAAACCCATCGGATGCAAATGGATCTTCAAGACGAAGACCGACATGGATGGCAACGTGCACACGTATAAGGCACGACTTGTGGCGAAAGGATTTCGTCAGATTCATGGTATTGACTATGATGAGACGTTTTCGCCCGTAGTTATGCTGAAGTCCATCAGGACCCTGCTTGCCATACCCGCATACTACGACTATGAGATATGGCAAATGGATGTCAAGACCGCGTTCCTTAACGGGAATTTGACTGAGGATGTGTACATGACACAACCCGAAGGTTTTGTCGATCCAAGGAACCCGAGAAAGGTGTGCAAGCTTCAGAGGTCCATTTATGGACTGAAGCAAGCTTCGAGGAGCTGGAACCTTTATTTTGATGAGACAATCAAAAGGTTTGGTTTCTCACAGAACAAAGACGAGCCATGTGTTTACAAGAAGGTCAGTGGGAGCACAGTTGTATTTCTAGTGCTCTACGTGGATGACATTCTCCTAATAGGGAATGACGTTCCTACTTTGCAAGACGTAAAGTCTTGGCAAAACGCATTTTTCTATGAAGGACCTAGGAGAAGTGGCCCATATCCTAGGCATTAAGATCTATAGAGATAAATCGAGGTGACTTCTAGGATTGTGTCAGAGTACATACATCGATAAGATCTTGAAACGGTTCAAGATGCAAGATTCCAAGAAAGGAACCTTACCGAAGAGCAGTGGCACAGTTCTCTGCAAGTGTCAGTGTCCTACGACACCGAATGAGTGAGAATGCATGGATCGTATTCCATATGCTTCTGCAATTGGATTGATCATGTATGTCATGCTTTATACTCGACCGGATGTATCCTATACGTTAAGCATTACGAGTAGATACCAGTCAGATCCAGGTGAGTCACACTGGATCGCCGTCAAGAACATCCTGAAGTACTTGAGAAGAACTAAGGATGTGTTCTTGGTATACGGTGGGTCGGAAGACGAGCTCGCTGTAAAGGGTTACACCGATGCTAGTTTCTAGTCGAACCCGGATGACTACAAAACGCAGTCTGGCTATGTTTTCTGCTTGAACGGAGGCGATGCTAGCTGGAAGAGTTCCAAGCAGGCAACCAT